TGTGAGTAAGAGAACAACAACTGTCTGCATTTGTGGATATATTTTTGACTAGAACCGACGACTGCTCGATACGACATTCTGTCTGCCGAAAAGCCACTTGGACGGGACTTTACGAAAACTTTAGCAACATCAGCCCGGTCCGGTACAAACGTTGCCTCATCGAAATGCTGTTCCAACGAGCATATAAAATATGCAGTCCTGAATATGTCGAAGCAGCGTTACAGTTCATCACACAAGCGCTAGAGACGAATGGCTACCCGACAGCGTTTATTAAGTTTCACGGTCGCACAACGGAAGGAAATAAACAAAAGCCCCAGGTTTCAAACTTGCAACCGCCGCAAAAGCTGCTCCCAAGAGGATCTTCGCATATGTGAAGCGGCGCCTGAGGCCCGTAGCCAATGTCCCAGTGTTAGAAGGCTCCGATGGACAGCCCCTAACCTCGAGTACAGATCGTGCGTCCGCATTGGCGGCGCACTTCGCCTCCGTATTTGCAAGTGACCAGGTGTCTGTAACAAGTTCGACGAGTACCGCTCCAGCCGAACTTAACAGCCTGGACTGCAATATTGAGGATGTGCGCAAGCTTCTAGCAAATCTTGACGGGACAAAGCCTGATGGGCCAGATGGTATACACCCACTGATCCTCAAGTCCCTATCGGCCATCATCGCGCCTTCTTTAACTGAACTGTTTAACAGGACACTATCAACTGCACTGTTACCAGACAAATGGAAAGGTGGTAATCCAAGTAAAGTGGATAACTACCGGCCGATCTGCCTGACTGCTGTTTTGGCAAAGACGCTCGAGAAGATCGTGAAGAAGAACCTTCTGCAGCTTCTCGAGTGGAAGAACCTGTTAACCTCTGCACAGCATGGTTTCATGAAAGGTCGCTCGTGCATCACCAACCTGCTGTTGACGAGGCACAAATTGTTACAAGCGATGAACCAAGGCCATTCGGTCGATGTCATTTACATTGACTTCAGTAAGGCTTTTGACAAGATTAACCATGCAGTGTTCCTTGACAGGCTGAGGATGTACTGTGTTGGTGGTTCGCTGCACAAATGGATCAGAAAGTTCCTTGTTGATCGAAAGTGGAGGGTTCAGGTGGACAACCATCTAACTGACTGGTATCCATCGTGCAGCGGCGATCCCCAAGGCACTGTACTGGGGCCGATGTTGTTTCTGATCCATGTAAATGATGTGCCTCAGCTACTCCAATCACCTTGTGCGTTGTTCGCAGATGACTTGAAGGTGTGATGAGTAATCCGCACACTCAATGATTGTGATTTACTTCAGCAGGATCTCGACAGCCTCTCGACATGGTCTGCAGAGGTTAACCTTCCGATCAACCCTGCCAAGTCGCAATTTATGAGGTTGGGTAAGTGTGAGCACAGCCGAACGTACACAGTGGCTGGTCAATCGCTGCATCCCGCGTCTTTCGTGCGCGATCTCGGTGTGCTCTCACGCTGCTACCCTAAGTCCATTGACAACACGTATAGGCTGTACCAAAACAGCCTTCGGATGCTTTGGGCGCTGAGGCGCAGCTTCAGCGAAAGCTCGAGGCGCTTTTGCTAACCTTCGCCACTTATGGTGCCGGTGCGACATCACTCTCGTCCTGAAGGGTAGAGTGTACAATGCAGTGGTACATTCGACCTTACTGTACTGTTGTGAAACCTGGCCCCTTAGAGCAGCGGACATAAAGTGGCTAGTTACGTTCGACCATCGGTGCCTTCGTAATTTAGCTCACATTTGATGGGAACACCGCGTGAGCAACGAGCGTGTTCGACGCCTTGTTTATGGCACAGGAAAAGGAAATGAACCGCTCAGCACCGTTATTTCACGCATCAGGCTCCGATGGCTCGGCCACGTGTTACGCATGCCAGCCCACCGACTTCCGCGACGTGTGTTGTTTGCGCGCCGAGGGTGTGGATGGAAGAAGAGAAGGGGTGGCCAAGCGATGACTTGGTCCAGAGGAATGAAGTCCCTCACTTCTGAGCTGGCCTCGGTTGGAGCTTCACGGCTCCCTGGTTGGGGTCTAAAAGACGGTGAATACGTTTGGCTGGATCCACTTGCTGACATGGCAAGGTGCCTACCTCAGTGGCGTTTGTGCTGTGAGTTTCTGTCTCTCCCCATCCCTGTTAGCCTCCCCCTCCATCTAGGACCTCATTCCGTAGGGTAAAAGATAATAAAAAATTTTCCTTTTGCCTAGTAGGTGGGAGGTAGCTTACCGGAACGATGCCTATCCGTTGCTGGTAACTCAGCTGGCATGCAACTGTTGTATCTATTTTTTCTTTATGTATTGTATTATATGTATGCATGTACGTGTATATATTTCCTTCATGTATTGCGGCACAATAGCGGGGGTGTTTTCCCACCTCTAGCTGACGTGTATAATGATTATGATGCCCGTCTATCTCCAATAGCCATTCAAAGGAGATGATGTGGCTACACAAGTCGAGCGGTGTGTTGCCACAGCAATTCGATGTGCGTTCAGTGCTGCAAAACTGTACCCAATTTGGACAACCAATAAGTTAGCAACACTTCCGTTTAAGCTTACGCAGTCGATTTCTCCACAACACATTGCAAGCAACGAGCGCCTGTACAAGTGCTTCTCCTGCCTTGTCCACGCGGCAGTTACTCGGGATTGGACACTAACTGCTTAGTATCGGCTGTTAGGCCTACCCTAGGCGGCGTACAATCGGGTGCGAGGTCTAGTCTAAGGGAATCGACCTAGGCATCGATCTGACCTACTGCCTCCGTACAACCTCTTGGCTTAGCTGTCCACAGCGTAGGTGGCAGCAGCTTACCAGACCGGTGTCTGTGCAAGCGGATCAGTGAGCACATCCCGAAATGGGCTGCTACAAGTGTGGCAAAACATTCGCAAGGATAAGAGTCAAGATCCAAAATGCCGGCTTCTTCTATAGCCAGACATCTACTTGGAACCGGCACAAAATTGATTCTAACTTGGCGTTTACGGTTATCTGCCTAATGAAAGCGCCGAAATACTCAAGTTCGCGGAGGCTATTACAATTAATCACTGCAGTCCGGACCTATGTGTGCAAAACAGGTGACTGTCACCCTCAAGCCTCCTTGAGGATAGTGGTACTTGTCTCAAAGGTTGTGATTCGGTTGAAGTTTATGCCCTTATATTTCATCCATTCCCATTCGGACACCATTTAAACCATTGCTTTTCCATTTCGTGATCGTTAACTGTTGCTTGTTTGCATATGCTCAGAAAGCACGCAATGATATCATCATGCAACACCCGTCTTCCCATTGTATTATTTAGACTGATACAGAAAACACAGTGCTTCAAATATTCGAAGTAGGTGTGCTATTTTGATATAGAAGTTTGGTTTATAATTATTTCACCGCGCTAGGTTGTTGATTACATCCATGAGTTAGGAGAAACATCCGGAGATTAGTCATTGATACTAGTTTGATTAACAACAGGATTATTGTTGTCGTTCAAGCAAAATGTTGACCTTCGCATATTGAACACGTCGTATGATTAAACCGATGGACACTTCAATAGGGCCTACATCAGCTGATTTATGCATGCTGATATTAAAGACGTAGATTGAGAAATACATCAATGCTCTTACTACCATCGTTTGATGGGTTACTTTTTGGTATTTCCTTCATCTAATAGTAGGCGACGCAACGCTGCGACAGAACTGATTCTCCTTCTCGAATGTTCACACCAACCACACAGAAAGCAATGCGAGTAAAGAGAATCATCTAAAGAAAAGCGTCGTGGTCTGACAAGTGCCAGCAAGGTACCAGCTTCGCTTCAATAAGGTACTAGTGGAAGTTTGTGCAGACTTCGTTTAATTGTGGCAGGTGAAGTTTTTTGATCAACTTTCTTCTAGATAACGATCTGATTACCAGGATGATAATGCCAACACAATGACTTCAACGATGCATCCAGACGCATATACAACCGAGAGGATCATTGAATCTAGAGCCAATGGTGGTTAGAGAAGACATATCTATGAGACTGTCCTTCAAGGTGACCTTACCTTTTGGTTTAAAACAAGGCATCAGTGCTTAATCATGCTGTAAAGCTACTATTTCATCAAAATACTACACTCCACCTAACCTACAAGTAATCCTAGTTTTTCGTCTAAATGTTCCAGTCTAGCTGTATAAGCGCGTATTACCTATACCAAATCGATTTTAGGCTGAGGCACCGGTTATTTGTGTCGAACCGAAGTGAAGCTGGGTTCTTGAATAAGGGATATATACCACTGTAAGTTCAACACAACCGTGCACATAAATCGTGCCAACCTAAGGCTCTGTGTTCATGCAGACCATCGACCTCTTTGATGAGTAGGCACTAATTGTCCTCAGTAATACGATTGTCAATCAAATCGGAGCAACGATGTGATATGGCTTGCTTTCACTCCACTCAGACTGTTACAGTAAGCTGGATCAAACCGGCTGTTCTTGTTTAAAATATGCTAGTGGTCTAACTTATTTTGTGGTTTACTTAACCGCAAACCTTCTGTTTTCCCATTACTTGCTTGTTTGTTTGGTTGCCCTCTGCACCGATGGTATACGATTGCGAGTTACTCTTACTGGTACAGATTATGAGACAAGCCTTCCACTCTTCAACCGAAAATCGTCTTCTATCCACGTTTTACCTGGCCACGAAACCACTAAAAGCAACTCTTGTATAGCTGCTGTTACGAAACGTGTGTATTCGTTGCGTCTGTCTGCATTTTCCTTCAGATTTGGGGGCGGTGGGCTGGTGCCACTCGCAATATTGGATAGTCATATGGAAGGAAAAGGTTGGCGTTTAGGATCAGGCGCTAACAGGTCGGATCAAATTTAGGTCAGCTTGAACAACAAATGGTGGGCGGCTGATAAGTATGAGTCACTTGACATAAAATGGATATGTAGTCCTGGGACGAGTAACAGATTTGCTCGCCGACACCACAAACCTGGTTTACTAGGGACCTTGTTTACTCATAGCATTAAGGCATTGGAATGGGCGATTCACCTGTTCGCAGATAACTTTACTCTCCAGTGCATCAAGATTTGCATCTTAGTTGAACTCTGGGTTGAAACGCGCGTTCCTGGTTTGCTGATTCTTACCTATAGGACCTAGAAAGCCTCTCTACTGGATACCGCGTCTTTCATTACTATTCTCGAATATCTTCTACCTCGGTATCTCTCGAGCCATGCAGGCTTAACGTAGTCAACACACAACATGCTCCCATCATATTTTCCATGCTTAATCAGACCACCAGTGACCCATCATACCCAATAAACCAGTAGACCGCATTATCACTATACAGATTTTATTGATATACCGCTTGTTTTGCTTCTTTCGCAATGTCCTCGGATGCACCCCGGCATCATTGGTGCAACTTCATAGCTACCGTATTATAATTCTCGCATTTTCCACAGCATTGCTCTCAACATTTGCTGAGGCTGTGCAGCTCCATGAATTTAAGGTTAAGGAAGATTCAATCCCCAAGTTAGTATCCACAAGCTACTCGTTTTCACCTATTGGTGTCCGTACATGGTATCAAACGGCCGAATGGAGCGGAAACCGCCGTACGACTCTACGGCACAACATGAGTGACTGGTGAACTCAGGTGCGCTTCGAGCATATGATGGGCTGGGTACCGTGACATGGGTAAAGCCGGACACATCTGCCACACAGGCGCAATGCGACTGGCTGGCAAACTTGGATAAAGTTCGACTGAGTAAAAGAGGACCGTGTCTTCACGCAAGCAAACGACCATATATGGCAAACCGGTCAAGCAGAATGCGTTCCTATTGGTTGTAGTCAAACACCAAAGACCATGCTTGATATACATTGAACCACCCTTTTCATAGAATAAACCGTCTACCTTGACTTTTGGTTTCCGCGGTTGGATTGGGCGCTAAGCAGAGCGAATCAGGAACGGCAACTACCACAAGCAAACCGTTGCAACTGTGACGTAGGAGATTTCCAGACGAACCCAAAAGTGGAAATTAATTGTGAAAAATTGCGGCTACTTGCAGCAACAGCAGCCATATTGTGCAAACACGTGGATCAAGTTGAATGTGGCGATGACACAGAATCTGTCATACAGTCAAGCTCAGAGTTACAGTCGAGTGAAAGTGTCCCCTTTCCGGAAACACTGATTCGGTAAATCAGTGAATTTCAATATGATGCTGTTACCGGCAAAACATCCGCCTGCTGGTTTTACAAGGATGTAAATATGTTCCGAGCTGATTTGGTCAACATTCCAGAGGAGAAGAAAGTTCGTCTTATGTTACGGAAGCTGGATCAATGAGGCTGGATTTCGATGAAGCCCGGTCTGCTGTTTGCGAAGCCGTCATTCACGACGTCACTTAATCTATGAAGGACGATGAAAGCTGCTTGGAGGCAATTGTGATCAAACGGATACTTCTGTGATTGGGACCTTCCGAACCTGAGCCCACTATAAGTCTCTGACCCTAAGGCAGCAGATCTAGTCAGGTTGGATTGTCTCCTGCTCAGTTGTACTAATAATTTATGCAAACCAGCTTAAAAACTGGGTCCACCTAATTCGGAGGGAACTGGAGGACGTTCTTCTGGTCCAGCGACCTCATTCACCTCTGGCATCTAGGTCTCAAGTCTGACTTCTGCGTGAGAACTTGTATCCAAAACGAATGACCATAGAGCAGTGCTATCAGTGGCCATGAAGAAGGCTGCTAACTTGCCTTTCAAAGTGCACAGCTCTACGGTCCAGACGATTTTAACAGACTGTTCCGTTTCTCTGTCTATAGCTTCACTAAAAGTAGCTCTCCTCCAGCCAGTTCCTCGTAAGAGACGAAAGAACCCGACGAGTACGTACAGCTTCGGCTGTTTCCAGGTGTCTGGCAAGATGTAACCATCCATCTTTGACAGCTCTTTTTAGGTTACTACCAATTTTCGCATGAAAGCTCTTCAAGTCTCATGGTATTAGCCTCCAGTCGGAATGTACTGGTGAAATCCCGGAAACTGCGTTGCGTTCAGTTTTCCAGACTAGGAATTCAACTCGTCACTTAAAGATATGTTTGCTAATAACAAAGCCTGGTGACCATGTTACCAATAATCTTCAACTGTGTTCAACAGGTACTTAGCCAATCCAGATACCAACATATTTTGGCACACAATCAGAACACCTGACCTAGCCAATTACCAAGATTCTATGCGCTAGAAGTGTCGGCGTGGGCGTCCACCGACACGAACTCGCTGGTTAGCGCATGTTTGGCGGCATCCGATTCCGGATTTGGCTCGCAGCCTCCTAAGGACAGCCACAGGACGCCTGCGCATAAAGCGTGACCGTGGTTGGTTGCAATTTACCGCCCACAGCTCTATCCACCACCCCATGTCCATACCGTTTTACAGACAAATTCACGCGTAGTGCTAATAAGTTAGCCTGTTACGAAAATCCAACTAACGTGTTGTGCATTCAAGTTCACGCTGGCATCAATTGATTTTCTCTCTGAGGGGTTACAAGCACACACTATCAGTGACACACTCATTGGTCATGAGTCAGTAACCAATGGGACTCCCTGTATGTACGCAAATTGCTAGATGTATGAGTCAATAGGGGACGGATATGCTCTGGAGTAGGTTTACACATTGCTGTTAACAGAAGGCGGACAGGGATGAGAGTGGCCATGCTAAGCAGCACCGACAATATTCTTGACTGTAGTTAGTCAACCTTAGATGAGGTATTCGCAAATTCTCCTACAGCAACACGTTAAAAGATCTTTTGGCATATAGAGTTACCATTAGTTCGTATTCTGACCCCGCCGGTAGCCGCTGTGCCTGTGCCAAATTACTAACGCTCTCCTAGCAGCCGAAACGTATCGAGCGCACCATTTGTGCTCAGTTCAACATGCACAATACCAGTGGCACATTTAGGCCCTAGGTCAGTATTGCCTCTGGTCGAAATTATATGTCGCATAAGGATAATAACAATAATAATAATATTAATAATAATAGTAAGGGGCATGATTCGCCTCAAGTGCAAGAGGGTGGCAATACTTGGCACAGATCATACACGCACAGGTGACCTCATGCTCTTGCAAGGTCAATCTCACGTTATCTTCTTATATTTGTCTGCATTTCTGACAAAGAATTTACCCCATATGTTTGTCCTGTGCGTTGGTTGGAAGCAAATTTGAAGTTTGAGTATGTTGTAGACACTGAGGAATAATTACATTGCGTGAATTGGTGATATTACACTATGTAGACATTATCTGGGCTTTCACTGAATGATGTTCAAATGACCCACCCCACGAAAAAAGCGACCTAATGGTGTCCAGGTAGAGGTAGCTTCCCAACTTACTGCGAAAGGACTGCACAGTCTCACACGACCTGCTAGTGAATGGCAACCGATTCCACAGTGAAGCATCTATGGTGCGACCTAAGTTAGACCGCAAATTTGTCTTGCCTCGTGGTATAGTCAGGCTAAGGTCTTCGTTACCTACGTCTCGCGTGTAATTGTGCTGCAATGTTAAGCATGAATCGATTGCAATGGGTATTGCCATGAATCAGCTTGTGCAGTAATCTTCAGTTATCTTTTAGTCTTCGCACCCGAAGCAGATGGAGATGGAGTTGCTGGCATCGCTCCCGAGTGTTTAGGATAGAATTACTTCCCAATACGTGCTTAGTAAACGACCGTTGAGGGATTTCTATCGATGTTCCGTCTGATTTCCTCATATTCCCTCAGATTATGCTGTGGTACCCCAGGTTGGGACGATTAAGCGTTTCACATAATTCAACTGTAACTAGGGGAGATGTTAGCGAAGGATTGTCTAGCTCGTGATATCCGGTACTCAATCTGTTCAGAGAAGTTGAACGTACAAGAAAAGCTGATTCCGAGGTTACGGGTAGACCATTGTACACTGTTACGTGTGATGGATACTTCGAGTGGCAAGCGCCCGCTACATATGATACATGACTGTTGTGTTCAAAACGTCATCATCCACGTGTCGCACCAAGTCTCAAGCGGACGAATGTGTTCTTGCCTGAGTGGTAATAGATTCCGAAGTTCAACTCCTCGGGGTTTGTGGACAAAGGTTACATCATTAACAAATAAATGAGGGACGCCATGTTTGTTCACCAAACTGCTATCATTGACACAAAGAAAGGAAATTAATGTACGGAGCGAACATCCTTGTTTAATCCTGCTGGTAATTGGACGAGGGGAAGAGCAATGGACGCCTAAGGGGAGTATATTAGCGTAACAAATTATGTACGAGGATATCCAACCCAATACTCTGTTGCGGACTTCAAAGACATCTTGCTGCGTCGGTAACCGTGTGTGAAACGCTCGATCGAATATTTTCTACAAGGGTAAGCTTTGAATTATATGACATACTTTGTGTCAGCGGAGTCCGGCATGTAGTTCAGGTAATACAGGTCCCAAAATGTGCACGATGGTTATTCAAGGAAATCATTTTAGGACCTGTCTATCAGATCCAGTGAGTTGATGAACTTCCTCACACTTTGCTCCTACTTTCACGAATAATCCGACTATTATAAGAGCGTTTTGGCTTGATCTGTTATTTTCCAACTTCTGTTTTGCACAGCCTTTGTGGCGTGGGCTGATGAATGAAGTGTTCCATTGATATGCAAATTACTTGGATCCCAGTGCAACGGAAAACATATACAAAAGGAGAGGTGATAAATCAGGCCCTCCCAGTTTCATGGCGAATGGGAAGATGCCATCAGCTTCCAGAATTGAGAACGGTTGACTAGAGCGAGTTGCTTGTCGGATATTACGGTGTGCAACAGTACTTTAGATGAAGCCTTCGTGTAATCATAGCCTTAGTGTCAAGAGTAATGTAGATGGAAGGAAACAGCTAAATGCGCCTGGATGTCCTCCACTATTTCAGTGATCAATGAAAAGCGTTTGTTGATTCTTCGACGAAGAAGTCAGACCAACACTTTCGCTTTACATGTCATTCGTAGGGTTTCTTGCTCTTCATGGGTTCTCCCCATCAGTTGTAAGTGATTGGTTTCAGAGATGAGTCGGTGCATCTGTAGAATCATTGTAAAGTATCCTATCCCT